TCATGTAAATTTTCATTTTGGTGTTCAACATATTTAAACCTATTGAGACAATTTGCAAGATATCTTGTTTTTTATTATAAGTGGGGAAATATAACATTGAATAAATCTTCAATAGGATTTTTAAATTTGTTTCATAGACTCACTGATTAAGTTTTTTTTTCTGGATAATTCCTCCTAATTTTATAATTAAAAAGGATTGAATATGTTGAACAAAAGTAATCTGTTCTAATATTTTATTTTGTCAATTAAGAAGTACCTGCTGCTTGATCCTTTGTTAGGCTTTGAAATTTTCTTTTTGTACTCCATGGAAATTGAGAGCCAAGAGAATCTTCATTAACATATACAACTGATATTCCTTTTTCTTTTATATAAAGTATTGTTTTAGTAGGAATATTATATCATAGTAAAATGTTAGCATTTCAAGAGGTGTGTGTGAGGGGGATAAGTATATAAAATTTATCTACCATAATGAATACTGATTATTTCAATAGAAACCAAAACCTAATTTTAATGTGACATTATCATCTTGAATATAAAGTGTAGGTTTTTATTTGTCTATATTTCTGAGATGAGATATTGTAATTTTTTACATTGTTCAGACTATTGTCCTCATCTTTATCACCTTCACTATTGTACACTCTGACCTTCTTCAGGTGATATGTAATGGAATTTCAAACCAAATCCTTTTTGTCCACTGGGGTAGTTCTAGTTCCACATGCCATGCTTTTCTGGACATCTGAGTTTCAATCATTTCCCTTTACTAACTCTACTCTGCAAGTTTTTGTTCCCCTCTGCTGTGGCCAGATATTGAACTCACAGCTCTTTGGGTTAAGTCACTGGATTACTTCAACCAAGTTTCTTAACATTTTAAGATTTAAGGCTTAGAAAAAGGATTTAAAAAAGAAATGAACAAATCAAATGTGTATATTTTTGTATATTATATCCTTAGATTTTTTTCCTTGGTCATTCATGGCCAAGGACCAACCTTTTATCTCACTTGGCTCCAAAGGATCATTTTCCCAATTACAGTTAAAGGGGTAGGATCAGGGCTAAATCCTAACATCTGGTGTCTTGAAGGGAAGTGCTCAAAGAAGTGGGAAATTCTTTTGGCTGTATCCTATCTGCTTGAGAGGGTGAATAAATATCATTATTGGTAAATATTACTCAACAAATTAATTCTGTTTTTAATACATATTATTTTCTTTCTCATTTTGCTATTTAGACTATAAGTTCTTATCACATATTTGAGACTAACAAGGTTTCAGTCGATAATCAAGGCAACATTGCCAATAAACATAAATTTCATTGTCAGATTAAAGCCTTGTGAATTTCACATTATGATAAATGCTTACTGACCCCCCCCCGGACTATAACCCTCTACCTTGAGAGCCTCTTGGGATTTGTGTTGGGTCAATTCTATTATTTTTATTTTTTTAACTAAATCTTGTAAACCTGACTACTTTTATCATGTAATCCTTCTCGGTGTGTCTCTTTATCAAATGTTTCTTCAATTAATTTTTTCTGAATTTCATTTTAACTAAATGTGTAGTTGGATTTTACAATAATAAACTTAAACAATTTCAATGAATTATTATACAAATGTTTTCCAACTAAGTAATTGGAAATTGCTCTTTTAATTAAAACATTTTAGGATAAAATATTAAGATTTTATCCCATCTCTTTGCATCATTAACCAAAAATTGACAAGTTAAATGCTCATTCCATTTTACTAAAGCTCTTTAATTTCTTTTATATGCAATAAATCATATATGAGGATGTACTCAAGTTCTTTGCCTTACCAAGCTGCCCTTTAAAAAAAAATGTAGTTGGTTCAGATTATGGAGAGTAGATCAGGCCAACAACTATTTAGCACCCACTTGTTTTAATTATATGGTATGAAACTCAATACAATTTAATAGTTGTTTTAAAATACTTGTTAATATTTAGTATATAATGTGCATATTTACTGTCCTGAATATTGAAACCTGTAAGAAATAATGTTCTGCTTTATTTAAATGAATGCTTATCATTGTGCAAATATTTTTAAAAAGCCTGTTTCTTATCTAAATATTCATTGCTTTTACACATTTAAATATGACAATTGTCAGAAGGAAGGTGAATCAGGGAGTTATTTCTATTTTCTAATGTATATTTTAATTGTTAGATTTTTCACACACCTAATGCCTAATGAATCATTTCCTCATATTTTGCTGTCATTATTATACTGCATTGCTTTGAAAGTTGAAGGAGTGACTATGGAATATTGATTCATACCTGGATGACATCTGTTTAAATAAAATAAAATGCTCATATTTAAGTTGCTAGTGACTAATAAAAACACAAATATTTGAAAGATCCCGATAAAATAAAATTCTTTCCTTTGTGTGTTTTAATATAAGAACAAAATAGAATTGATTAAATTAAACTGGTTTCTAAAGTCATACCTGAATAAAACATGACTTTTTGTAGCAACTTTTTTCTTGTTAAATGTATAATTCAAATATATAAAACTTTGTGGACATATCTAGTTAACACTTTTCACAATGTGCTTACAGTAATCCTTGTCAAAAATGTCAATCTATGCATAAATAATCCCATTTTTATGGGTATAGAACCCATTAAAATACTTATTGATAGGCGATAGCAACATTTTTTTAATATCAAGATTTAAGCTAGATGATTTGGTTGAAGCTATTTAAATAATTGTCAGTGCTTTTGTTGTCCCACTTGCTATTTTAGTCAGTTAAATCTAAAACTTTAATCCAGCTATATTTTCATGTACAGTAATGTTTTTATTTTTCAAGCTTCATTTATTTATTTATTAAATATCCCTTTCACCACAGCAACTATAAGCAAATGCGCAGTCACTGTTCCTTCCTAGAATAAATGGATTTAGAACAGAAAGGGGATCTAAGAGGAAAGTATGTGTGTGTTAAATATAAATTATTTGTTTCAATATTATAGTTAACTAATCTAGATACCTGATCCTGTTTTCCATAGTATGTAAGCATTATTGAATGTATTATCTGCCAAAATGATGAGATAACTTAATGAAGGGAAAAAGTATATAATATATATTTTAGTATAAATGACTGCTACAAATTAATATGGAATTTAAAAAAAATGAAAACAAAAGCCTTGTAAAAGTTCATTATTCATCAAAAAATATTTTTTCCTTAAGACAATAGCGTGCATAATATATTTTTTATATATAAAAGTCATTAAAAGCTTTTTTGATTAAATATCTTAGTTTTGTTGCATTTTCTAAAATTTTACAATTCAGATTTTCTGTAACTGGGGATCCCATTTGACAAAAAAAACTGATTTAAATTACCATAAGACTTGTCTTTATAACTAATATAAACATTAAGTGCTACAAAAAAAAGAATTTAAGTTTCATAAAATTAAATAAGTGGGGGGTTAACAGATGTAAAAGTAAATAAATAAAAATTTTACCAAAATTAAAAAAAAAAAAAAAAAAAATAATTTAATTCATTTGTTAATAAGTCCTGAGAGTTTCTTGAAATCTGACAATTATCTGATTTTTGAGAGAATTTCCAAATTGGTGTGTTTTACACTGTAAAAGATCTTAAAATTTCCTATACTGATTTATGGTCACCTGCTGATGAAAGAAAAATGATTTTAATAAAAATTTCAAAGGTTCTAAAAAGGATTAAAAAAAATATAATTTAATAATCAAAAAAACCTGTTGGTCTTTCCTCTTAAGAACAAACATTTTGGCTTTGTTTTTATTAAGTTTAGGGCTTTTTTCATCAGGTATGCTCAATTTTAGCAAAGCTTTGGAAATATTTAATTATAAATCATAAGCTTATTTTCAGTAATGCATATTTAATGAAAGCTATGATGGTCACTTGAAAAGCAATGCCTCTGTGTTGGTTCATGATTGCAGCTGCTTGTGGCATGACAGAGGTTAAACTTTACTGCTAACAGGTCACTTTTTATTTGTTTTTTATCTTGTTACAAATAGCAAGTCACAATCTTGTAAAATAGTGTCTGACATGAAAGTGTATATGAAGTAGAAATGCCATTGAATTCAGAAAAAAAAAATTACCCATCAATTTCCATTGACACTTGCTGAATGTTTATAGAGATCAAAGAGTGAATGTGAGCACAGTTAGATAATGAGTTATGCATTTTAGCAGTGGCAAAAATGATGAGAGATAAGCTGTTGAAAGATATTTTGTGGACAGTTTCATTGTTACTGTAGAACTTGCATTCTGCAATAATGTTATTGTCCCTGACTCCTGTATCTGGAATCTGGAGTTTCTCGTATATGGTTGTGTCTCTGTTAATAAGGTTTCTATTAATGCAAATATTATTGATGTTTGTTGAAATTACATTATTCAGTCTTATTTGTTGGTTTTTGAGAACTTGCATATTGCAATAATTCTTCACACACACAAAGTAGTTAGTTCCTCTCATTCCCTATGCTTTTAACACCACATCTGGATGAAAGCTGACCAAGTGTAGCAGAGGTAATATTCATTCTGACATGCAGTAGGAATTTTGGTGGGAATTTGGATTCATAAGCAGTCCCCAGCTGCATGTTTACACAATTTTAGGATAGTGTGATCCAGTGTGAATTCAGTTTCCATCTCCTAGACTGGTTAATACCGAAGGCTATAAGACCAAGTCTGTCCTGCTATTTTACCCATAGCTAGAAAAGAGATGAATTCATATCTTTCCCAAGTGAATATAATGAACTCAACTGGAATTCAAACTCAGCTCTTTGATTCCTCAATCCAAGTTACTAACCATTACTACTACACACACGTGTGTATATATATATATATATATATATATATATATATATATATATATATAATTGTTTTAATAACATTAGTAATAAAAATAATACAAAACTCTGGAGTTGGAATGCTGAAAGTAACGTCAATCAGCTAAGTGACAAACTTTTAAGATCATTTTTTATAAAATAACCAATTTTCAAGGCTGATAATAGTTTTTGTTTTCTCATCTAGGTAAAGATCCTACTGAGGCATATCTAAATGATATGGTAAATGCTGCTCCTGGACCCATCAACTTTACAATGTTCCTTACCATGTTTGGAGAAAAGCTGAATGGGACAGACCCTGAAGATGTTATAAGGAATGCATTTGCATGTTTTGATGAAGATGGAACAGGTAAGTTGATAGCATACTTTTTGTTTTGATTCCCTACTCCACCATGTACTGAAATATCTACCATTCATCTTTTTCTCTTCCTTCTCTGGCTTCTAATTCTATTTACTTCCTATTGAACATGTTTTTAATTTCCAATTTAATATCCTCCTTCAATAAGGAATTTGATGTAGCACTATAATCAGTTGTACTGGATGTTCTTTTGTTCCATGTCCTAGAAATAACCTAGGGCAAAGAATCATGTTAAGAGTAAAGTTAACTTCAGGTTTCAGCATATGATTTTCTTTGCTAAATGGCATTGGAATTTGAGAGCTCTCTGCTTGTAGTTTTGTGAGCTTGGCTCAAATCAGTTAAAATAAACAAATCTAGTGGGTACATGAACAATCTGTTGATTGTTGTTTGAATTCCACCTCCCTTAGGTTATACCTGATGAAAGTGGAAGAATGGATCAACTGAGATGTTAACGGCAAATATAAGAGGGTGCTGAAAAGTTGTCCCAAAAAAATTCCCAAACCAATTCTGATTGGCTGTTTGGTTAGATTTTGGGAATGAGGTTTCAGACAGTTTTCAGCACCCATTGTTTAATGTTGGGTATGTTAATCACTTTTCAGTTACTTTTCATTTATTAAATAGATTTTTCAATTGTCTGCATAGTTGTGATTCTAAAGTAAATATTAATCATAATGTATTTTGTACAAAATATGCATTCCTCTTCATAATTTAAACAATTACTTCCTGTCATCATCTACAAATAATAGTATAGGAAACACTCCTGACTCTGCTATATTGTATCAAATTCAGTAAAAAATATTTTAAACTGATATCAAGTGTTTAAAAAATTGAGTCTTACTAATTTGTTGATTTGGATAGAACCTTAGAACCTCTTCAGTCCTTTTCTTCCAAGCCAAATTACAGAGTTATTTGAATCTGTTAAAAAGCCTTGGTTAAGTTTATTTCTTTCAGTGATTTCAAGGTCATAATAGACATGCATATTACTGTCTCAAAGGTATAAATTCAGGGTGGAGTTTCTGGTATGCTCTAATAACAGAATGTTTTAACAAGGCGAGACAACTAACCACTTGCATATAACTAGTTGTAACAAAACAAGCTGATAGAAACTTCTCAATGTTGTAAAGAAAGAGGGAAAAAAAATCAACCTGGATTTTTTTTTTTTAATGGAGGAGCACTCTCTTATTACATAGTTAAATGACTTGTAAATGAACAGAGGCTCAGAGGAGATACATTATAGCAATTTCATTGCTATCATTTTTTTTCTTCTCTAACTGAAAGAAAGCTCAGTAATAAGCAAGTTGATAGAAAAAGAACCAGTTACAAATGACTAAGATCCTTCAATGAAGCTGGTTAGCAGTAAGAGTAGGTAAGATGTGATGTCCTCTCAGGTCAAAGGAAAGGTATCCAATTGCAGGAGACTGGGGTTAGAGCACATTCCTACATTCTTCTTTATGGCTGAATGATAAATTAGGGATGAATTCAGAAAATAATCTTTTCTAAGAAACACGCACACATAAAGCTAGGTCACTTTAAGTTTACTGACATGATTTTTATGATGACAACTACTACTTCATTCTATTTTAGACTTGAGTATTTCAAAGTTTAATAGAAGAGGTTATCTTTGAGCACTTTTATGGTAATATTTCATACTCTAAAACACTTGAATGTCAATTATGTCAAAAAATGATTTAAATTTAATGTGAGAAGAGTGTATGGATATTTAGTTTGAGAAATTTTAACTAGTAGCAAAAATTCTTCACAAGAATAGTTTTTAAAAAACTTGGTTAAAAAAAGTAATTTTTTTTTAACAATCTAAAGAAGTTAGTATATCTTTTGAACGAGAATAAAATAATTTCCTTCTTGAGCATAGAGCCGTAATTAATAACTCACTTTACACTTATAATTGAAAAGTGGGCTTACCACACACCCCAACTCATACTGACATTAAACATTTTTTATCTTTTTAAAAGAATGTATTTCAAGTTCATCTTTTATGCATGTATGTATTTCAAGTTCTTTTCCTAAAATTTATAAATTAATTTTTTTCCTAAAATAATCAGTATTAGATTAGTAAACTCATACTGAATTTCTTATGCTGATCATTCTTGGAGTATAAAGAAAACAGATTAAGCTTTGCCTGCTATTAGGCATATTCAGTTTGCTATGGAATTTGATCCAAGATTAAAGTTAATCTTTTAATACAGATTAAATTATAACATCACTTGTCAATACTTAAGAATTTATAGTTTTAATATTTAATGCAAAAAGGAAAAATGCTCTTTTTGTATTTTATAACCAAAGTAGAAATAAATTTGTCATAAAATCAACTTTGACTACCAAAATATTATATTTGTCTGATTTTCTAAGTTTTAATAAATTATAGTTCAATTTTCAGCACAAATATTTAGTTACTTTAGGCTCGAATCCTTAATCATAAGATATTAGTTCTGCCTGTGTCGTTAATTTGACCACTTGTATGTTTTATTGTTTATGATATTAAATTTTCAGACCCCTGCAAAAATTAAGATTAAGGCTGAATTGAAATTTAATAATTTCTATCAAAATTTATTTTCTTTGACTTTTTTTTTTTTAATTCAAGCATAAATTACTTTATATGTATACTAGCCATTCAAAATGTTAATATTTTCTCTGTCAAAACATTTTATAAGCTCACTATGTGACCAGTCTTTTACTATTGTGGAGTGGGTGGATCTAAAAAAAAAAAAAAACAGTTCAGTGCATGTTGGAACAGAATAGATCATAAGTAAAATATAATTTGGATTCACTATTTTTCTTTTCATCTTAAATGGTGATTTTATTTATTTTTTTTTTTTTTTTTTTTTTTTGTCCCCATCATATTACATACTTATATATCTATATTCTCTCACAATCTGTACCTTAAAAACACTTTTCATAATATTTAAATCTTTCTTTCATTCTCAAAGAAAATATCTTTACAAGAAATTTCTATTTTGAAATTGAAAATACAGATGTCAAATGTTCTGGAGATGTTTTAAAATGATTCAGGGTTAAATAAATTATTTAAGTTTCTCAAAATGAACACATTACTATTTTTAGTTTTCACTGTAACAATAGGATTTCCAGTTTAACTAAAAATACCATTTTTCATTGTTTAGTACATATAATAAAATTACATTGCAGACATTAGAACCTATCTAGTGTTTATTGCTATTAACTTCAAAAGAAAATTGGCAGTGTCTGCATGACTTACCCCCCCCTTGCACAAAGCTATTACTAGCTAAAAATAAATAAAAAAACCTAAGTTTAAAGCAGCTACAAATACAAATCTTCTCTTGCCTTCAGTGCTTACTCTAAGTCAGGTGTCACCAAACTTTTTTTCACAGAGGGCGAGATAACTGAGAATTACAAGTGCTGACAGGATAACCGTTTTGTTCAATACTGTTGTGGATCCCGCGTGAAAAATAGGTATCCAATAAATGACAAACGCAAGTATTTAAGCTAAGAAATTAAATGTATTTACACAAAATACAAAAGGTAATGCTGTTAGTAAAATCCAGGAACACGGTTAATAGCAAATACAGATAGATATATACAGTCTCGAAGTAGGACTTCCTTAGAGTATACGTGCTTGTAACTGACTTCTACAAGAGGTTACTTCACTCTATCTGACTACCGACACTCACAGACGACTCTCGTACGACTCCTCTTCTCTGCCTGACTGTGGCTATTTTATGGCAGCAGGACGAGTCCATTATATCCGAAAAGGGTGGACCCCATAATAAATACAATACACTAAATACACAAAAAAATAAAGATAACAAACATTGATTTACCAAAAAGTTATCAAAGAAGGCAACATTATCAATAAAATAGTTATATCAAAAACTATGCAACAAGAAAGGTTAGTGAGATTTGTGAAACTGGAATTTACTCTTAAAGATATAACCAATATTTGCTTTGGAATTGCTGCATCCAACCAAAAGAATTGATTTCAAATGTTCATCGGTCAACCATGTTTGATGTGCTGACATTACATACTTCAATTTTTTTTTTTTTTTTTAAATGTTTGCTCACAGACATAAGTTGTTTGAAACACTGATACCATTGTTTTTCCTAAAACCTATATTACTGTTAGATGCAAAAAGCAGATTGGCCAAATTTTGGCATTTTTACTTATTTTATTTATTTTCTATATAGTAAGTTTAACTACAATCTATTGATAATTTGATATAAATAATTATATTTTAGCTCATTTTTGTCACAGTACAGTGGTGGGCCAGATGAACTGACATCACAAGCTGTAGTTTGGTGACTCCTACTCTTAAGTAGAAGGAAATCTAAATGTTTTACTTGTAAAATTGGGGGGAAAATATATAATAATTGTTAATTACATAATTGCTTGAATTTTCTTAATGTATAAGGTTAGTATATTAAAGTTGTGATAAACTTTGTTAGATGGAAGTTTATTTTCAGCTCATTCTCATGTCTAACTGTTGATTTTCATTGGTCTCAATCTCATTCTAGAAAATTCTTGATGTACAAAGAAGTATTTCTAATATCAGTCTGAATTTCTGGAGGGAGGAGTTATCATTATTTACACTATTTATAGTCATACTATTGTTCTCATCTTTATCATCACATTTCAGCTATTATGCCTTCCAGCCTTCATCAGCTGTTTATTGATCTGGGTAACTTGCAGGAAATTCTGAACTGAGCCCTTATTTAATCTATAGGGATAGACTGTTCTCATTCCAATACCCATGTCTACAGATATCATCTAGTTCTTAGTACTGCTCAGATACTGCTCACCCATTTCCACTGTATGCAAGTCCACATTAATTGGCCCAGGGATTGAACTCACGGTCACTGAATTCATGAACCAACACTTTAATCCAGTAGACTATTTTCTTGTAAATAATAGAGCTAATATGTTGGCCATTAAAGTTATAGCAAAATTGTATGAAATTGGCAGACAGCAGATGAGATTTCATACTTGAGCTTGCAGACGA